TGTAATCCATAAAGTTTTATGTGTTTATGAAACACATGTGAATGAAATTAAATTATATTCCAGTTATAAATGTGCTTCTGATTACAGACAGCCTGGGATTACAAAGATTTGTATTTTAAAGACAACCAGTTCGAAGGGAGCATAATTTGCTTTTTGGGTTAAACAGAATTTCTTAATTTGAAATTCGAAGAGTATGACAATTAGATTAGACTGTGCAGAAATTGAAATCTACACCCTAATACACACTATACTCTTAGTCACCAATGCTGATGTTGTTAACATTCATCATTTGAGAATAAAGTATAACAATAATAATAATTTGAACGGTTTGATGTGATATGAGCTAAACGATCTTTAGATTTAATCACCATTGGTAGCGAGATTTATGGTAATGCTTTTTTCCTCAGTTGGTCAGAACAAACGTGGCAGACTTGTTACTTACTTGTTCAGATGGCAATATACGGTGAAAATTCTTATTTGGGTCATATTCCAAGACGTAGGCTAGAATCTGTGATTGCGAAGTACAGTAAATATCCACACCGGTGCGGTGACTGACTGCCACACATACTCTTCAGAGCATTAGATTCATCTAATGATTCATCTAATTCATCGTGCCGCCGCACAACCCACGCAAACTAGATAATTCAGCACACAGCTGCAATTCCAGGTTTTCAAACAGAGATGGCGACAAAGAGGCAAAACTTACGGACTGCAGCTTTAAATCTTCAGTTTTAAACCCCACCTTTAACCTCGTGAAAAAGTACATTTCACACTTGTAACTTAGAAATGGGGTACGCACTGCTTTTCATACTTTTGCTGTGTAAACCCTGCATTGCGGTGCCAAACTTGTACAGTGTGAAACGATGCGGTGTTAGAATGTTACGGTTAAGGCTGGAATACACTACATGACTTTTGCCCAGATTTTTGGCCCAATTTACAGTCTGGAGAAGTTGACACTAGTTGCTGGACGTCAGAGACAATCTGCAGATCGGAGTTGACACTAGATTACATAGAAAATTGCGTAGTGTATGTTTGATATTTTACGATTTTAGAACACACTGTTTTCATTTGTAACGTGTCTCCAAGCTACAAGGCGCACATTTCTGCGTGCGCTTGTTGTGATCAGAACAACTGACAGTGTATGATTCTCAGTCGTTTAGCGTATTGACGGTTTAAAAAGCCAGTAAGTGTATGATCATGTCTAGTGTATTAAAATCTGTTCAGATTTTAAAGGGGTCATCAGATGCAAAATTGACTTTTACGACTATTGACTGACATGGCCGTTTTAGCACAGACCCTCCCTGAGTGAGCTGTGAACAGTCCACCATTGTTTTGACATTGGAGCAGGTGTAGACAAGAATGTCTCCTAAGTGATTGAGGTGTTTTGTTGTTGGATGTAATAATGAACATAGCAGTCATCATTTACTCCCAATATCTGAGCCGCTGAAGACGCAGTGGATTACTTTTGTTTTTGAAGGGAATGCACCTCCCCGATGTACCTAAATGCACCTATGTTCGTGCGAATCATTCGTGATCCAGCTTCACCTACAGAAGAAGTGAGTATAAGTTTTTTTTTTTTTTTAATAAATCTTTGCAAATTGCCTCTCCTAAATATTGTGCTAGTTAGCAAGTTCCGCGGCTAATGTTTACAGTTAGAGATGCACCGGTCGATCGGCCAGGGATCGGAATCGGCCGATTTTCCTCATGATGGTCGGTCAGTCTGACTTCTTTCCGATTCCAAGCCAATCTGTTTTGTTACCAGCAGCACAGGCAATAACGTCAGCCGTGCATTCTCGCTCTCTTCTCTCCGACGACCCCTTCTCTCTCACACACGTCTCATTCGCTCCGGTTAAATAGTGCTTGTATTGCGCATTATTTTAGTCATTCCCGCAGGTTTCGCGCTTACACCACCACTGATCTATATTAGTGGAGCGTACAAGCCACGCTCAGTCTCAAACAGCTTGTGAGCCACAAATACCAAAATGAGTGGCTAACTGCACTAAAACGTTCAAATACATACAAAATTATGTCAAAATGCCCGTCTTGGCGAGTATTGAGTTAAACACAGTCAGTTTTGGAACGTTAAATAGTTGAGAAAGAGAACGCATGTTGTGTAATATGGGCCTGTTTACACCTGGTCACTTCATGCGTTTTTTTCTGATCGGATAGCTATCGTGAAAAGACCAGGTGTAAATGCCCTCCGAAACGCATTCGAAACTGATATAAATCCGATCGCTCAAACCACTTCAGGAGGTGGTCTGGGCCACATTCCAGACGAAACTGGACAAGTGTAAATGCATCTGGTTGTTGAAACCACATATGTAAATTTTACTCCTCCCAAAATGTTAAAATAATAAACGTGTGCGAGCGTGTTATAAGCTATATGACATTAGTCAGACTGCGCTAAGGCAACACGCATCGCTGCGGTCGAGTAGCTGAGTATCTCTTCAGTAAGCCGACACGCAAACTGCCGCGAATGAAACTGAAGGTAAGACGCAGACGGTCAACACACAATCACCTTCATTAAAAGTAATAAGACAAACGTATCTTTCCAGTGCTGATGCCTGATTTCGTTTACGTGAACTCCGTTAAATTTAAATATAGCGCGGGAATTGAAGATCGGATTTATATCCATTTTACAACGACACATTTATGTGGCCAAGTGTACATGGAAACGTTTTAACAAATCAGATAGATATCTGATCAGCAGTTTCATAGCTCTCTTTATTCTATTGCATTTATTTGTGCTGTTGTTTGCCATTTTTTTGTGTTCTTATTTTATTCCAGACTTTTTACTTGTTTTTTTAATGAAAATAAAACTTCGCGTTGAAGAAAAGTAGATTTTTGTTTGTATATGCTGTCAATTATAGTTCTTAGAAAGAAAATCGGAATCGGCAAAAATCGACAGATCACACTAACAAAAAAAAAAAGGAAATCGGAATCGGTCAAGAAAATTGCAATCGGTGCATCTCTATTTACAGTCTTATGAGAACGGCTCGAAGAGAGGGGTGGGGTGAGCAGAGCTCATTAGCATTTAAAGGGACATACACTGAAACGGCTTGCTGTGAACAGAGCTGTTTTTGACGGGGTAAAAAAGGGTGTTGTTTTACACTACCATTGAGAAATTTTTACCAAACTATGTTATAGACTTTTCATTAAGACCCTAAAAAATCATATCAACTTGCAGAAAATGGGCATCCGATGACCCCTTTAAAAGTCGTGTAGTAAATTTCAAAAACAGACACCCAATCCCGTACCTCATATCAATGTGTTTTGGACATTCACAGAAAAACATTTATAGCAAAGTCATTATAGCGTTTGGGTGGAAAAATGTCAAATGGTGACGAAAACAACATGAATCAGAGTGAATAAGATACTGCTTTATTCTATATAGTTTTTATATTCCAACGAAAAGTCAATTCTGGAAAACTTGAAAATACTCTGCAATATATAACACGAGGATGAGCAATACTAGAGCCATTATGTTAGCACATCACATGCCGTGTCATTCTTCCAATAAGGACACTGACACTGCAAATATGAACGTTAACCAGGAGTTTAGGAATGTACAGTGTGAAATGTGAGTTTATGAATACCCAGGATTTATTGTTAACCCCAGGTAAATTATGAGCAGTGTGAAACATGATAATTCAGGATTCCATTTACCTGGACTAGAATAACCCAGGATTAACTATTGCAAACTGAAAAACCCTTTCATCTAATTTTTTAAAACTTTTTTCTTCAAATCAAAGTTTGTAATTTTGTGATTCACCTCATAGCTGGTTGGTTTAGTTCACGGATTCTAACATTTTAACAAGGACTTTAATAAATCCCTATAGGAAAAACACTTCCAGAACCAAGGATGCTGAAAAAAGTGGATGGGCACGGATGCGCACCTTATTTTTAACATAAGAGCGGGTGAGGCAATTTGTAATGTAAATGTGCAAGACTTTAAATTTCATTCTCTTCCAATTATTTTACCTGTAAAAAAAAAAAAACACTTTTAGTCAGTTATGCTGCTTGATGTTGCACACTTATTAGTTATCATATTATATATATATATTTTTTTTTTTTACCAGCTAAAATGAATCAGAAGTCTTGAATATTGAATGAAAATACCTTACCTTTCATGTTGCAAAATAAGGTAGATAGTAACATCTTCGTCATATCACTGCTCAGTTAAAATGAGTTTGTTATCTTTGTTGCATAGCAACGTTACTTTATAACAGGGACTGTAACTTCTAGTCGAAGAATTTCCTTTATTTCACAAATAAATCAGTGTTTTAATGAAAATATCAGTCCTTTAAATAGGTATTTATGTGGTGACCGTTTTATACAACTTACTAGAGTCTCACTTACCTTTTACAAGCTTAAATATTTATTGTTACTTGTAATTAATTAGTAAAAGCGAGATCACAGTCCGTCTGTGGTAGTGAATTTTACCACAGCTGTGATTACATGTGGCACGAGGCACTACTGCTCGCGTGTTATTGCTTCACTAAAAAATGCATTTATGTGCTACATTCCGTTGTGGATCGTGTAAAAAAGTTTATAGTAAATAGAAGTGCTTCTACGTTACAAAATGTTACAACACAATCACGTGTATGTCTCAAATCACCGCAGCCCGACCGTTGCTGTGTCTCGACAGGCTCTTACCTGACTAGTCCCACCTTTACCAAAATACATAAATTCAAATCAAAGCAAATCACCAAAAGAGCTGTCATACTTACAAAACGAGCTCCATGCTTAATACAAAGCGGTTAATAGCATTAAATACCAGTGGACTCGCACAAATCTGACCATGAGAAAAATCACGTAGCCCTCCTTAATATAAATTAACTTTAAAGACAATATCATCACGTCTCAAAGACATATGTAGCTGCACACGCGAGTAACAAAGTAAAGCGCGTGGTTCTGAAAATATTCCCTGTCGCGTGAGTATAATCCATTGACGAATTATCGACGGCATGACAGCGGTCAATGACACGGCTCTTACTCACCGAGAAGAGAAATCAGTCCTCTGGAGAGGCTTTAACGTGCTTCGGCGCGGAGATTCCTAAACGCTTCCTCCAGCTCTGGCGACCATGTTTGTCCTGACTGACCGCCTACTGCTGCTGCTGGTGTGGTGTGGTGTGGTGTGCATCCGGGCGCCTGAGGGATCAGGGGGCAGGGAGCTTTCCGTGTACGGAGGAAAAATGGGAAAGAACGAGTGGAGACAGACAAACCCGTCGATGCAACGTCCTGTCCCCCTTCAGCTCAAGTATCAACCAAATGGCAGCGGATTTGCGCAAATGGGCTTGTTAGGTTTATTATGGGATGTTTTAGATATGGCTGTTATAGAAATGTATTCTGGTGGGTGCACGAGGTCACTGTTTTTCCTGAGGAAACCTTTAAAGAGGCAATGTTGGGGCCACGTGACGAGACATCGATTCTTATCCATACTGAAGCTGGATTAGGATACGAATAAATTAGGTATCATTACTTTATTCGTAATATTGATATGTTTATGTCTCAGAAAGTGGGCAGGTAGTTGTCTGCATACGTACCGTTACGTAACAGCGTTCGCGCGTTCACCACACATGCGCACCACATGAGACTAGGGATAGGAAGCCCGACTCCTTTTTGCGTATCGGTTCTTTTAATGATTCGTTTGGGGGGGGGGATTCGGCGATTATTTTACTCGAACTGCCTTAATAAAACATATTTGAACAGTAGAGCGTGTAATATGCCAGGGACCGCATAATTGATATTACGTTCTATTCATTTTAATATTTTAAATGATTTATTTTCGTAAACGAGTCGTTCAGACTAGTCTTGTGATTCAAAAGATTCATTGAACAGAATCGACTGGATAGGATTTGTTTACGAATCGGACACAGCTACACGAGACACCTTGCAAAAAGACAAGTTCACTGAGTTCATCCTAGACATTGATATATAGCACCAGAATATTGACATTTAGAAATAATTATTTCAAGGAATAAATAGGGAAAGTTTCTCTGTACTATGAAGTACGTGCCAAAACTTATACATAATCAGACACGTTATTTCTTCAGTGCTGCTATGAGATCATTTTTGATACGATAATATGAACTATATGCCTATATACTGTAGATTTTTTTGGCCATTTAAATATTTGATAGATTGTTGTATTGAGATTTTTCGTCCATATGCATATATTTGCAAGTGCGTTTAAGAGGACCAAAAAAAATCTCAAACTTGGTGAACAGCGCCCTCTGCTGTTTCATACCCACATGCAAATATTGATTTAGGACGACGTCTTGAATGCCTGGGGTCCGTTCTTCGTACGTCGCTTATTACATCCGAGATCAAAAGACACATCTGAGATGATATGATCCAGCTAATCATTATCTGGCTAATTAGGTTCTTCGAGCACACTGTTGTTGATGATTAGTATGGCTGGATTGAGTTATCTGAGATTGTTTAAACGGGGATATGTATGGATAGTAGAAACACTGATCAGCAACGCTATTATTGGTTGTCCACAATGGCCAAAGAGCGCGCCCACTTTTTCTCGGCGGCAGAACAAGAGCTCTTGATGGAGGGCTATGGCGAGTTCCAAAATGTAATAAAAACGCCAGGAAACACCTCAAAGGCTGCAAAAGCCAGGAGAGAGGGCTGGCAAAAAGTAGCAGATAAATTAAATGCGTAAGTAGTGACGCTGTTAGATGTTTCTAATCAGTTACTACAGTATATGTACATTTTAAAATTGTCATAGTTACTTTAATCTTTTATATTAGAGCCACCACAGGACCCACTAGAACTTGGGAACAAGTAAAGGTGAAATACAATAATATTCTACAAAATGGCAATGTTAACTACATATGTTGTTCTTAGTCTTTTTACAAAAGACTGTGAAATGATGTGCTTGTTTATACCAGCAACTAGGAAAAAGGCAGAGCAAAAACAAACAGGTGGTGGTCCTGCACCCCCACGTCACACCCCGGCAGAAGAGCTGGCCCTTGGATTAAATGCGAACCGACCCAATGTTCAGGGCACCCCTGGGGGCAGCTCTTCCTTAGACCCACTGCCAGGAAGTCAATAGTGAAGACAGTGTATCACTTTGTCATGCCATTTATTTTCATTGCACAGGACTCCATGAGTGTCCTTTGGAGGAAGTACCTGTAAGTGCATAATTACACATAAAAACACGCTATATAATACACTAATGAGTGTCCTTTGGAGGAAGTACCTGTAAGTGCATAACTACACATAAAAACACACTATATATACACACTATAAATTTGTATCAACTAAAGTACTTTCTATTTTTGACAGCAATATGAGTTGCAGGAGTCTGCACACAGGCCTGCGGAGAGGGAGTCTGCACAGAGAATTTATACAGCGGTGGGCAGTGTTTAATATCAGTTTGTCTTTTTTCTCATTTTAGTTCTTTTTTTTTGTTTGTGACATGTGTTGAGTTCAATTTATTTTCTCTGTAAATGGCACAGGGTCACATCCGTTCCCTCTATAAACGTAGCCTGCAGAATAAAGTTGAATATTTGGAAGTAAAAAAAAAAACCAAAAAAACTGAGGGGACCAATAGAGCTCCAACAGCTAATGAAGAAGAAAATTGCACTAGAAATAGAGTTGCTGCAAAAGGAACTTCAGAGTAAGTAGTAAAACACCATTTGACACCGAGCACTACTGTTGACCTTGCATGACAATATCTGTGTTTGCAGGCAAAATATTACTTTTTTTTTCTTTTTTTTGCCAGAGAACGACTAATAAAAGTCATGGAAACCATATTTGCCTTGTTTTGTTTTTTTTTTATTCTCAAAAATGGTGTTCCACAATCCTGTCCCGTGCAGCTCTGCCACTAGGTTGGTCCATGTGCACTGGCTGGAGGTCATCATCAGGCTGCACCTCCACCACGGGTCCTCTCCTTTCTAATGGTGGCAATGTTGTGTAATACAGCACATGCGACAATGTTGCATGCCCTGTCAGGTGCAACCCTCAGACTTTTCAGACACTGAAATCTTCCCTTTAGTTGCCCAAAGGTCATTTCAATGTGTGCCCTTGTCCTGGCTAGAGCTGCATTGTAACGGGTTTGTGGTCCAGGGTTGGGGTCAGGGAATGGGGTCATAAGATACTGCCTACAGGCATAGCCCCTGTCTCCGACCAGGATCCCGTCGTAATCACCTGTACAATGGTAAAATGCAATGAATTGTAATAGTAACTCACCTGCACATTTATACTGTGAACCCCCTTTCGGTTCACAAAATCCCCTTCATTGGGGCCTGGATATGAATGTGTGTGCAGTCTATGGCACCAATCACATTAGGGAAGCCTGGGGGACAATCGATTCATATTTACCAGCCTGGTCATATTCACACGATCTTCATTAACAAGTAGAACGTACCTGCAATGGTGAAAAAAGCTCTGTTTTACAATTTGGGGTCTTAAGTGGCTTGGAAAGACCACAAAAACCCCTAAAAACTGCTTGAGTGCCAGATAAACTTTGCGAATGGCACGACAGACAGCACTTTTGGCCAAGTTCTCCGCATCCCCAATAGTGTACAGGAAAGTGCCACTCACAAAGAATCTCAATGCAATGCACACAGTTTGTGCTGTAGTTAAAGCCCGACTCCGACGAGTCGAACTTTTAATATGAGGTTCCAACAAATTAATTATGTAAATTACGCCCTCACGTGAAAAACAATATCTTTCAAAAAAGTACACTATCGCGCTATGCTAATGGATCCTGTCTGTGTCGCAAAACACGATTAATTCTAAAAGCTCTGCGAATTATCCTCACACCTTCCACAACAGGTTGCTCTCGTAAAAACAGGCAAGACATGGCTGCAAGTGCAACAGACTTCTCGTATCACCTCCACTTATAAAGCCGCGATCTAATCCTGTTTACATGAAATAAGCCTTCTCCCGAGCAGGTTTAAGCTTACGGACCTGTTGCTATGACAGCAACTCCGGGATGAGCTTCGAAGAACCAACCAATCCAAGATCAAGCGAAATCATCAACAACGTACAAAGAACGGACCCCTGGGGCCCGTTCTTCGTACATCGCTAACTCAGTTAGCTGGATTTGATTGTTGACGATTTGGCATGATCTTGGATTGGTTGGTTCTTCGAAGCTCATCCCGGAGTTGCTGTCATAGCAACAGGTCCGTAAACTTAAACCTGCTCGGGAGCAGGCTTATTTCATGTAAACGGGATTAGATTGTATCTTTTTAAGCATAATTGATACTTAAAATATGTCCCAGCCACCGTTACTTTGTTACAAGAGTATCCTACTGATCCAGGGACAATAATTTAAAAATAATAATCATTTAAAAATTAATTTAAAAGTAATATAGGCTAATAATATTGTGTAGTCTATAATACTATAGACACAGCCAGTTTTACTCATTGAAAGATTTATTAGTGATGAAATAATTACTTTATAATTGTATTAGAGTCTTACACACATGCTGTACAATTAATCTGAGTCGTGCATTAATTTGAGTGGTGACAGCTATTATGGGAGTGGCTTGATGGAGCACAGGAGATGCAGATAACATGATCTTGACCCTTGAAACTTTAATTAATGGTGTCACGTAACAAATCTGTTTCAAAGATAAAATTAAATTAATTGCTAATTGCTACATTGAAATAAAAATGTAAAGCCTTTACAAATATTAAAAATTGTGAATATAAATTGGGAATCATGTAAAAAAATTTAAATAAAATAAAAACAGTGTGCATTTCATTTATCTATTATACCATGTATGTAGTTTTGTTCGCTTGGCTGTTTCCTTATAAAAGTCCAAAGTCAGGTGTCTTTACTAATTATATGACGTCATTACGTTGCCATCTTGCCGCCAGCCAATTGCTACACTGCTGATCGTGGTTTCGAGTATCGATACATAGCCCCTTTTAAACCAACCCATGAACGCGCAATTATCTCAGATAACTCAATCCAGCCATACTAATCATAAACAACAGCCACATTCGAAGAACCAAATTAGCCAGATCCTGATTAGCGTGATGATATAATCTTGGATGTGACATTTCATCTCGGATGTAATAAGCGACGTACGAAGAACGGGCCCCTGGACTATTTATGTTGTTGTTGTTTTATGCGGCAGTCGTCCGTGAGGGGCTGCCGCTTTTACTTTCATTTTGTGTTTGTTTATTTGATTATTAAATGTGTATGTTTAAATGTTCGCTGGTTCCCGCCTCCTTCCCGATCTACAAACTTTGTTACAGTGAGTTTCCATACTAATCATAAACAACAGCCACATTCGAAGAACCAAATTAGCCAGATCCTGATTAGCGTGATGATATAATCTTGGATGTGACATTTCAAGAACGGGTCCCCGGACAGCAAAAATCTCTCAAATCAAATAAATAAATAAAAATAAATACCTATGTGAATATTTTAAACTTCTCTATCTCACTAATAACAAATTGGTTATAGGGATTGAGTAATGAGGCAGAAAACATTCGACACCCATTCATTCAGTTCAAGCTGATCCTGAGTGGGCAAACAAAGCCCTTCTATGAAACTTCTTTATCTGCAACGCTATTCTTCAGTTAATACATGAGTGAGTTT